GCTTGTTGAAAGTACCGCGACAAACAGGCTTCGGTAGTGTTGACATGCTCTGAGTTGGAGGGGATGATCATGGATACTGACGTGATAAGAGCGCTTAGAGTGGGCGTGAACGAGTCAGTTCGCCTCGAAAAAAAACATCGAATCGAGCAATGTCCCGCGAAACCTTCCTTTTCAGGACAAAGAATTGCCATGTAAAGTGTCCCGGCAGTTGGGTAAATTAGATGGAGAAGTGTGAAACCGGAAACAAAATCAAGAGCATCAACAACACGACGCTAGGGCGGGGGGTTTCCCAACAGGGTCTCCCTTGAATTCCAGAGGGCCGATAGCGAGAAACGTTGATTAAAAGATGGCTTCCCTAGTGAGAGGCAAAAACATTTCGGGGTTCAAGGGTCAATAGTAATGGGCAAAGCCACATCTGAGGCCACAAGGCCCAATGTCATGAAACCGTCGAGGAAGGCGAGGCGTCTTTTCATTGCCCGAGAAAGTGTGAAAAGCGGTTCACGAACCGGAAATTGGAGCAATTTAGCCGGGACAGCATCCAAATCGATGCCTAATCCAGTGGATAGATACTGGATGGCAAGGCTATATCATCTCTACTACCGGCGACGTTAGATCCGAGGATGGATCTGCAGGAACCTCGACCAAACCCCAGATCTGGCGGCAGCGACGGAGGTGGCGTTGGGACCAGCCGAAGGTGTGAATTATCAGACGACATGTAGTGTCGTAGCGAGAACGACAGGCGAGGAAATGACGCCCAGGGGCCTGATACGACCAACACCATCGCGCGGCACTTGGCTTGTGATTTTGCAGGAGCCATTTCGGGATATCGTGGGTTGTTGGCCCAACAAGCCGAGTGCGGCTATGGCGCGCAAGTTGTGCACATGCTTGCTCTTGACTACGTGAACAAAAGATCGGTGAGTGACATTGCCAGAAAGGAAACGTTATCGGCACGACAAAGCGCGTCAGTGGTCAAGCAAAACGTTGATTTTGATGATGTGAGGTAGAAAATTAGAATAGCGTGGGGGCGTGTGTGCAAGGGAGACACGGCAAGGTAGGCAAGACCCGGCGTGAATGAGTTGGCAGGACGTTCGCTTGCAGTCCAACCATTGTCCAATGATAGCCAACAGAAGAGTAAACGCGCGCGTGCCGGCTATACTGTATTGAGAAAAGTGCTCGTGGCCGGAGTTGCCGCCTATTGGTTCAGATTATCGATTGGGGTAGGAGCAAGGTCTGATCCCTCTGACCACCAATGATATCTCTGAGCAAGGCAAGAGCTACCCACAGCTGGAGCAAAATGTCCCCTGCTCGGTCTATCCTACTTCAGGAAGACGAGTCATCTTACAGGGATCAAGACCGTCCTAGCGCGTCCCGAGAATCTGGTAAGCTAAGCTTTCTAGCGTCTTTAGCGTGCGGCACAGAGCGCTGAGTGGCCAGTTGCGGGGCCGCACCGCTATGCCATGGTGGGTCAATCCCTAACTCCGATACCCCTGTCAACTTTGAAGCGCAGCCAGGCGCATGCCATGTTATGTTATGGGTTGCAGATTGCGCAGTGCAAGTGGAGGTGCAAACTTGGTATTAGCTTACTACAGTACCTATCGCAATTACTCATGTCTTTGTGATATTTTGCTACACCGTCAATAGGAGTATCCAAGACATATGACCGTACCCAGCCAGCCTCTGAATGAATTGAGTTGAGTCGAGACGGGTCGAGCCCATGATACGATGTGGTTAGGCCCCTGGTTTGGGGATATGTGGTTGCTTTTTTACCCTTCTCTTTTTTAACTTTTTCACTAGGGAGGTCATTTTCACTTATCAGGTAGGCTACCTGAATCAACATGCATTGCATTGCCGTGAATTACTGTACCAAAAAATAATAACGTCCTGTCTAGAGGTGACGGACTGTTGCTGAACGTCATTTTGCCGGTTGCCTCTTCGGGCTCGGGTCGCATCCCCGGACCAGGGGAAGCCATGACAGCACCCTACCCATTAAAACATTTCTGAACCGAGAGCAGCGGCAGACAGTTGTTAATTTAGCACCCCCAAAGGAGGGAAACCCCCCAAAGAGACGACTTTTACATCGTCAAGGCCAACACGGCTCATTTTCTGCAACCAAGTTCCTGTTCAAGGGCTTCGCGCTACACGCGGTCCTATCACGTTTCTCAACAGCGCGTGTATCGGATAAGATCAGATGTATGTTGGTGATGGCAGTTTTCTTTCTGTTATCGACAGCAGGGCGTATATGTCGCTAACCGCAGCTGATGGATGTGTAGATTGATTCATTGATTGACGGAATCTTCAGCATGCCCTGTCATGCTCTGCCCCCCAAATATTGTGCTCCGCTCAATTCTCTTCCGCACATGACGAGGCAATCTGCCGATAGATGCCAAGACGAGTAGTGGGGTCAATGGGCTTTTACCTAGGCTGTTGCAGGCATGATCAGTCACTCTCTTCTCTGTCGTTGTCTTGTCTTGTCTTGTCTTCTTTTTTGGCCCTTTTCCTCCTCCATCTCCATTTCCGTCTCCGTGTCAGTTCCGCTTTCGCTATTGTTGTTACTTTGCCGGATCTGCACGCGAGAAAAAGGGAGCGGAGATTAGGGAGGAAACATAAATCTTCTTCTTGTAATCGCTCTAGACTCTTTTCTCCATTGGTAGCTTCGTACAAAATGTGTCAAGGTGTCTTAGCTGTGTTACAGTACATACATACAGTACAGTGCTGGCCTGGCCTGGTATGACCTTGTCTTACCTTAACCCAGCCTCAAACTACTGCTACGCTGCTCCCTTCAGATCCCTGCTCCCACTTAAGATCATGGCGTCTTTCTAATTCTCTTCTCTGCCCTCTTCTACCGTCCTCCCATCCACTCATAAACCCAGTACGGCAACAAAACGTCACTGGCGCACCCTTTCTTTTCAAGCTGCCGATCTTTAAGATCGATGTACGCCAAACGGCCCGCAGAGGATTATCGAGGTCCCGCGTTCCTGCTAACATCCCTTGCAATATGATGAGATAGCACTGCCGTTCTGTTCTGTCCGTCATAACCTCAGATGCCCTGCGTTGGTGGATGATGAGAAGAGACTCATTGTCCATAATTTGTGTGCAATCAATTACTGTATTCTACAGTGTAGTAATTCCCACATTTCTGCTTGTCTCTGTGCCCTCATCCAGGACGACAAAGGGTCCTTGATCATACTCTTTTCCCCACCTTGTTGCGTTTCTCATCCTAGTCATCACTTTCCCTTTCTGTAAACATCTCTAGTCAAGTTCCAGGTCCAGGTTCAGTCTTAGATCCACGTTCTTGTCTTCGGACAGTCCTGATTTGTTTCCCCCCGTTAGCTAGCTCAGCCTGAAAGTGTGTATGTCCTGTGATGGACAGTGCTCCTAGCTTCAGCTTGCCTCTTAGCCCCCAACTTAGTTTCTTCGTTTTGCTATGTTTATCCTATTGTCTGCCCCTCTCACAGCCGTGGCTTGCGGTATAGACGTTTTTGCCATGTTATTTTATAGTCGGCCTGCCCTTGCGTATTGAACTTATATCTTCTTCAATTGCTTGTCATCCGAAACATATTTGTTGGCCAATAAATCACTCCGGACAACAGCTCCGGAATAGAGGTGGATGGGGTCGCAATTTCCTCAAGAACATGCTCTTCATTTCCTTATTGCCGCCGTCGGTCACCAGACTGATAAGCAGGTGTTTCCATTACATATCCTATCCAGACTGTCGGATCGCAAGGACTGCTCGAGACCATGTCTGGGTCGGATTTGGCCAGCGAAAGGGCCGCCCACTGCACCTGCTCAGGCAGAATACAGTGCCTATTCTGCCTCACTCCAAGTTAGATACGACATTGTCACGATCCGTGGTGGATTCCAAGTAACCACCGAAGAAGTTCGGTGTTGTTTTCCTTGTCGAGAGATGTGACTCCATCCCGATTTTATTCTTCTTCTTTCACACCTAGACAAGGATAGAAGAATGAATGGATGAATGAATAAATGAATGAATGAGTTGCTGGCCGATAATTGGGATAGGATGAGATGGATGGATGGATGGATGGATGGAGGAACCCCTACCCCCCATGTCCACATTCACGCCCATGCCCATGCCCACGTCAACGCCACATCCACTTACAATTCTACTCTACTCCCTTTCAAACACCCCTTCAAGCTTCAAGCCGCGATAATCCAGTTCCCCTCCGTCCCAGCGTCATATCCACTGGCATGCACGTACACTGCCATTAGCCTTTCCCTATTTCCAGCCCATTCACAGCTTTAGACCCCTCGGCGGCTATCCATATGCACGACAGTTTAGGTATCGTACCCTGGCATGGAAAGAGGATACAGTAGTAGGTAGCAAGCCATCATAGACCCAAAGCGAACCCTCCACTTTGTAGGCAACACCAGGCCCTGGTACCTCTCTGCTCAGTGCATCCTCGACACACCCCAGCCCTTCCCCATTCGCCCCCTGGCACTTGGTCCATGAGGTTCCTAGACTTGTAAAAGAACGGCTCTCAAGAATGTCCTAGTACTTTACTTCTGTTACTGCAGTAGCAGCTGTCCTGATCTTGAGAACTACCTACACTCCAACGATCTGCACTCCACTTGTCTTCATCTCCAAACACCATTTATACAAAAAGGCCGGGCCGTCTGTGACCCCACAAGGCTCCGTCTCCCTCAACTCCTACATTCTGCCCTTGCCCTTAACCTTGACCTTGACCTTGACCTTGACCTTGGCCTCGATCTTTGGACACCCAGGTCTTCAAAAAGCGGCCGCGGCCAGAAAAGGCTGAATTGTCTTTTACTTCCATCATTCCTATCTGCCTCGCCAGGTCTTGATGCCGTCTCAGAGTATCTTGGTTGCCAGTCATAAATGCAACGGTCTCGGACTGAATCTTGAACTTGGAGCCACAACATCAACATCCATCTCTAGCCTGCAAGCACTTCCAATCATACAGCCCCGCCCATAAACCAACAAACTTGGACTGAACTGTCCGATCCCTCAAACTCATACCCACATGATCATGGTTGAGCAGCAGTATATTGCCCCAGGTCTTCCCCAGTCGGCTGGTCTTTCGGGAGCTCCCATCTTGCACGACCCAATTCCTACAACTACAGCTTCTGCTTACCACGAACTGACATCCTACTCAACTGTAAGTTACTATTTCCTCTGAACCCAGCGAAACATTGTTCTCGTTGCGCTCTGCCATTGCCGTTCCCCAACAACAACGGCAAAACTCACACTTTTGCAGATTTCGTCGCCTTTCAACGGCATCCCTTGTGATCCAAACCTCTTAACTCCAGTCTCAGTCTTGGATTCTCCTCCTTTGCACGGATTGTCCAAGATTGGGCCTCACTATCCTCCTCCCCCAAGCACACCCAACCAGCAACCATCCCCCCCAGGGAGTTCAGAAATGTACCACCAGCAGTGGGCAGGACACTTCGACGTAAACGGCCAGTCACCAGCAGCGAGTTCGCCAATGACTTCACAGGCGCCAGGCGGAGGAGAATTTCTCCATACCAGCTATGTCCATGATGGACGTCGAACACCAGGACCACCTGAGCCCTACATGGGAGCTTTTGGCGTGTCGAACGGACCAGAGCCACAGACAATGGAGCATCCATACTATGTCAATATGGGCCCTCCAGTCGACCACCAAGTTCAAATGGGTATTCACCATCGCGAAATACCTGCCACGCCTCTTCTGAGCGAGTCACACCCAATCCAGTATCGCCGTCGGCAGAGCCCCGAAGATTCTACTCTGCACACTCAGTCTGCAGGCGTCCCACGCTCTCTAACAGCATCCCCGCGTCGAAAACCTGCTTTCCAAGCCAGTGGCCGGGTTAAAAAGCGTCATTCGAAACGGCCAGGTACATCTCGAACCGCTGCCCAGGAAGACCCTGTGAGTGAGCACAAAAATTGCTTCGGCCAAGAGGTTCCGCCAACCCTCAAAAGCACATGCCCCGATGAGGAGCGTTGCATCTTCGAATCTCGCTGGCAACACCGCAACCAGAAGGGCCAGGATATGTGGGAAAGTATTCAGGGTGACTTTCATGATCGCTTCCAGAAGCGTCCTGGCAAGGAGATGCTGCAGATGAAGTTCAAACGAGGTCGAGCTAAGTACTATGATTGGATACCAAAAGATGTAAGTCACCCTAGCTCAAAATATGTCAAGCTCTAGACTGACTATTCCTAGGTGGAGTTGCTTCGAGAAGCTTGGTTGCGTGTCGAGAAGAACCGTTATCAGCAGACTCTTGAGATATTCCACGAATTAGGTGGTTCTCGGAATATGCGTTTAAATGCCAGCGACATTGAGATCAAAGTCGTCAATGATCTGAAGCTCGAAGAAGGTCTCTATATGGAGTCTTATGGCAGCGCCAACATTCGCCGGCGACGCAAGCCGGAATCGGTAAGAAAGCGCGGTAGCCATGGTGTTGACAACGATATGTCGGTCAACGACGAGATGATGAGCATTGGCTCGCATACAACACATGAAGACGAAGTCATCAACCAGGTCCATGGCATTCCGAATATGAAGATGGAGGAGCAAGGCCCTGGAGACCATCCCAACATGATTGAGACGCAAATGTGGGATCAGCAGATGAAGATGGACCCTGGAACAATGCCGCAAAGAAACGACCGTATGCAACACATGATGAGGTTGAGTCCAATATCACAGCCCATGTATGAGGGCCGCAGAGAAGCATAAGGCAGAAAGCTTCTGAAACTTCGGCCATTTCATGCTCTCTGGGTAGGCAACATTATAGACTACTTCATCTTCCCAACGAAGAGCCCACTTTCTTTGTATCTTTTTCATAATTCTTTTATATCTAGCCTTCTCCTCGTCATTATGGACCTCACATATCATATAAGAGTCCTTTCATATATACCCCCTTAAGGAACAGTTTTTAGATAGAGCTCAGAGGAATGTTGATTTGTTTTTGGCTCCCGACTATGAAGAATGTGGTGCTTCGCGATGTTCCTTTGAAGGTTCCTGAGAAAGGTTTTGCCAAATCGAGACTTTTCCTTGACCGACTTGCACAGCTCGACAATGAGATTATCATATCAATTAAATGTTCCTCTGTTCGTTTTGGAATTCCGACTTCATTGCTGCGAGACAGCAGCAGTATCCTGCATGAACAAGATCGAATGACTAACAAATGACTTCATACACAGTCTAGGCCTATGAATGGCAATGACTAGATAGCTTATCTTTCGTGCGATTGTCAATAAGAACGAGGAGAGGGGGGGGACACGAAAGACCTGGAAAGATTTAGAAAGGGGGCGGACAATACATAGCTCGTATTGACAAACTTGTCCTTGTTTGCGGTCCCGACAGTTTGGAAAATTGCGCTTCAAGTAAATTTGATTTTCGCTGCAACTTGCATCCAGCTGGGTCAGGTCGACAAGGATGAGGACTCAAGTCGCCAGCAGAGACCAGGAGGGTGTCGAGACAAGCTTGACGGGGTTGCCTTGAGCCTAAACTAGTGGAGTACAACGGCCCATCCATGGAGTCGTGGACGCCCTAGCCGTCAGGGATTCAGGCTTCTAGCCCCCGATGCAGATCACGCCGTTTGACAGTTCGGCAATGCGAGGCTTGTGAGAGATGTGAGGCCTTTTTTGCCCAGTTACAGGCTAGGAATTTCCGCGAGCTTAGCGCTGCTGACTACACTCAGCCAGGTCGCATCAGAGGCATCATAGTATGTAGGTATGTACATAAATATCGACTCCGTCATCTTTTGAATGATAGTTGACGGGCTGAGAAGCCGTTTGCAAGATCAGCGACAGTTCCTGGACACGCTCATAAGACAGTGCGCGCAGCCCCTGTCCTTTCTGTGGAGAAGAACCACGCCTGAACTAAAACATCACACAATAGCCTGCTAATGAAATGTGCCACTGCACACCATTGATGGCGCAAAGAACGCATCGCTAGCAACGACATTAGCTATTTGGTGGGCGGTTAGGTAAGTGTGCAGTCGATTGTTGAAAACTCTCCTCTTGGAATCGGTGCGGGACAGGGAGCATGTACCTGCAAGTGAGAATCAGGACCGTAAGAATGAGTCGAACCTAGTGCGTACTGATGCTTGCAAAGCGATCGCTGAAGACAATATTGACAACCCACAAGCCTGAAAAGGCGACTGTATGAAGAACTGAGCAAAAGACGAGTGACATGGAAGCAGCCTAGGGGATGGCAAAAAACTCAAGACCTAAGCTTAAGATACAGATAACAACTAGCCTAAGGGAGGGTCTGAAAGGATATTAAGTGGCTAAATTATGTTGTAGGCAAGTAGTATCAAGGTTTCTGCAAACCCGAGTGCAGCCGTTGTCCTTCTGGGACCCAAATATAATAGTGTCGGGGGCATTGGGTGAAGTAGCTTACTCGGAGATTTGCTCTGCAACAATCAGCGACAAAGTACCAGAAGTCAGTATCCTGGCATTTCGAGTCGAAAGTTCCTTGGAGCCGTCTTCATGGTATCTGTGAATCGATGATATCAATGGGAAGCAGAAACGGAGAGCGTTGTTGGACCGGGACAAGCTTCGATCGATGCGCCCATGACACAAAGATTACATGTCGTGACTTAAGCGACTACTTCTAGGAGAATCGACTTCATCCCTTAAAGAACCTATCAAACGGCGATCGGCCGTCATGGCCGGTTTTCTTTCTGAGATTGAGCTAGGACGAGGAGAAAGGCTGTCGGATGAACGCAGGCGGGTATCGTGCGAGGAACACTACGTTCACAAGCTTATGTCGTATCCCGCTGTGTAAAGCCAGGTCGTTTGCTCGCCTATGCAATTCGCCAAAGCAATATCGGCGTCTGGTTGCTAAATCTGGTTTACGTATAGGCCGAGTGGGAGAGAATAAAATCTAGATGGTACGCCAGGATCCGTCGAGTTGGCGTCGTTACAGTAATGAATTCATTCGAGCGGAAGATCATCAACGGTTCCCGAGTGGAGACTGATCTGATTATTTCAATCTCAAGGACGCGGCACAGACAGAAGCGTCGTCGTTGCCGAGCCGAGGACGTACGTATGTACAACAATTCAATAGGCTTCCCGCCTATGGATTGGACCGGGACCATACTGCAATATGGTTAGCTCGAGATTATTAAAAGTGACGTTTTATTCAGGGCCCGCTTCCGCCTTACCTAGCGCCAGGGTTGTGACGCACTGGTGCATATAGCTTTCTCATCGTGACCTCGGATCTTGGAATTTCTTCTTTGAGGTTCGCACCCCATGAATGTCATCTAGCGTGGCCTCGGAAGGAGAAAAGGTATTGGAGGAACATACGCGCGATGAGTCGGAATTAGCTGTGGCACTGTTACTATGTAGGTGTACGAGAGTCCGATGGAGCTTTATATGGATACCTACTTTTGTTTGTGCTCAGTTTGGGAATCGACCAATGATGGCCATGATTAATCAGATGATTCGGTGGAACCAAAACTGAGTGGGCAGCTTCACCACTAAGTTATTAAGCACTCAAGGTGCACATACTGAACTCACTGTCAGGGCAAATAGAATTTCCAACAGGTTATAATAATCGATTTGGTTTTCGAAAGTTGCTCCTAACGTTGAATTACAGTTCAGTAAAATAGTACTATTCTGACATGTTCATACTCAGTCCAGACTTTACTAAGGTCAGGGGCCACACGTGTCAGCCACAGGTGGCGGTATGATGACAAGACACAACTATCACTAAGACTTCGCAACGGCTTTGCCATTTCAATCTCCAAACCGCGACGCTGAGCGCCCGTCGCGCGCCATACTTGAGGCGTTTCATACACTTGTTCTTGGCTGTAAAGCCAGTTTGACTGTCTTTACGCTCCCCGATGAGCCTAGCAGTCATCGAGCGCCATTTCCCCTTGGCCAGCACTTATGAGTCCTGTCTTGCATGAGCGAAGAGGCAGAATGTTCTTGATAATAATGCAATTGCTGACATGGGCTGTTCTATCATGGACAGCGCAAGCAATGCGGCAAGACCACCTTGGGCGGTTGCGTCAAGAAACTGTGGACATGTTCTATCATGGCTTCAACAACTACATGAAGCATGCGTTCCCCGAAGATGAGGTATGGCATGCACCTTCGTTGATAGTCGCATAATATTGACTATCTTCTCAACAGCTCCGACCTCTGACATGCCAACCCCTAACACGAGATCGAGAAAATCCCGCCCATATTGGGTTGAACGACGCCTTGGGGAACTATTCCCTTACGCTCATCGATAGCTTATCGACACTCGCGATCCTCGCTAGCGGACCCGAAGATGATTCAGGAACAGGCTCGAAAGCGCTGAGCGACTTCCAGGACGGTGTAGCGGACTTTGTACGATACTACGGCGATGGGCGCCCAGGCGTTTCGGGCCAAGGCATACGGGCGATTGGGTTTGACCTCGATAGCAAGGTTCAGGTCTTCGAAACTGTCATTCGTGGCTTAGGGGGTCTTCTCAGTTCACATCTATTTGCTATAGGAGAGCTGCCTATCGCGGGATATGTCGTGCAGCCTGCTTGGACAACCAAAGCCGACGATCCTCTTGAATTGGCACCCATCGCATGGCCGAATGGTTTCAACTACGATGGTCAGCTTCTGAGACTTGCCCTCGATCTTGGGCAAAGGCTTCTCCCTGCTTTCTATACGGATACAGGTATACCGTACCCACGAGTGAACCTCCGGTATGGTATTCCTTTCTACACCAATTCTCCTCTATTTCGCCAAATGGGCGAGAACAAACCAGAAACTTCCTCGGTAGAAATCACGGAGACATGCAGTGCCGGAGCTGGAAGTCTCACTCTTGAGTTTACTGTCTTGAGTCGACTTTCAGGGGATGATCGGTTCGAACAAGTAGCTAAGCGGGCCTTTTGGGCGGTTTGGGGCAGAAGGAGTGAGATTGGACTTGTTGGCAACGGTTTGGATGCGGAAGGCGGGCAATGGATTGGCCCGCATGCCGGAATCGGCGCCGGTATGGATAGCTTCTTCGAATATGCTTTGAAGAGCCATATCCTGCTGTCAGGACACGACATGCCAAACAAAACATCATCCAATCGACGGGGTAGTACCGGATGGCATGACCCCAATACCATGCATCCTCCTCTTCCCGCCGAATTACAAAGCTCTGAGGCATTCCTGGATGCATGGCATCAAGCCCATGCCTCGGTGAAGCGATATCTGTATACCGACAGAAGTCATTACCCTTACTATTCCAATATTCATCGGACAACCGGCCAACCCTACACCATGTGGATTGACAGTCTAGGGGCTTTTTACCCTGGCCTTCTGGCCATGGCGGGCGAAGTCGAGGAAGCTATAGAAGCTAATCTTGTTTATACTGCTCTCTGGACACGATACTCTGCATTGCCTGAGCGATGGTCTGTTCGTGAGAACAATGTTGACCAGGGGCTTGGCTGGTGGCCAGGTCGCCCTGAGTTCATAGAGTCAACATACTATATATACCGTGCCACACAGGACCCATGGTACTTGCATGTTGGCGAGATGGTTTTGAGAGACATTGAACGACGATGCCGTACACACTGTGGTTGGGCTGGTATACAAGATGTCAGAACAGGAGAACTGTCTGATCGAATGGAGAGCTTCTTTCTCGGCGAAACCACAAAGTATATGTATCTGCTATTTGACCCCGACCATCCTCTCAACAAGGTTGATGCTGCATACGTGTTTTCAACAGAGGGCCATCCACTTATCATTCCTAAGCGGAATCAACCCAAGCCTATATTGCGGCGTTCCGTGGCAAAGCGCCAGGCCTCCAGGAACAATATGGACGATGATAGCTTCACCCACTCATGTCCGGTCCCCACGGTAGCAGGACTTACTGGCTCGGCCACAGCTGCCCGCCCTGATCTTTTCAGCGTCGCATTGTTTGTCGATTTGCATAACACCCCCAACGTCCACGGCCCTCTCAAGGCTGTCGAGGTTGTTGACAAGAAGAGGGGTCTGGTAATAAAATACAAAGCGACAACAAATTACACAATGTTTCCCTGGACATTACCTCCAACAATGTTGCCGCAAGATGGCATATGCACCGCGCCCGCTGAGCGAGTCGTGGCATGGATAGAGTTCCCGCCCGGTGACACAGCCAGCTCACTCGTTTCTCGCTTTGGGACTTCTCTCGTGTGGTACAGTTACAACGGGCCGACCGTCCGCAACCTTGACGGCATGCGACTCCAATTAGAGCGACAACAAGGCAGCGGGTCAACAGGTCGTCTCTGGAGAATCACGCATGCAGCAGGCAGAGAGCTTGGCAAACATGAGAATGTCTTTTTCCATGCAGAACATGTAAGAAATTACAAGGACGAAGCTTTTACTTGCATTCGACGAAAAGATATAGTTGAGATCGACCTACTTCTTGACGCTCCCGAGAAACTGAATGCCAGTGCACCAGCCCCTGCTCAGAGTGTAAATGCATCAGGTGAAATTCTTGCGAGTCACGCGGCTCTCCCGTCGGAATCTCTTTTCAAATCACTACTCCGTGCCGTGAGCTCCGTCTTTGAACCGGCCTACACCGATATTCCTGAGTCCGAAGGGGGCGGTCCCGGCCCCATTACTCTCCGTTGGTCGGCATACACGGCGACCGGACCGGGTGCCTTCCCGATGCCGCCAATCGTTGACACGCCGATGGCCGGTTCGCCAAGCTATAACTCCCGCAAACCTGCCACTAACTTTCCTTGGCGAACTACCTTCCTTGGTGGCCATGCCTGTGATGCTCCGCTGCCCGAGTCGTCATCTCGACAACATCAAATTATAGTTCTCCGTCGCGGTGGCTGTTCATTTAGCGAAAAGTTGGAGCGTATTCCTAACTTCTCGTCATCACCTCACTCTTTGCAACTTGTCATTGTTATTGACGAGGAAGATGATCCAGAAGAAGGTGCCGACGAGATTGTACGTCCTCTTTTGACGGTAGCCCAGTTGACGCCCAGGGGCATGGAGCGGCTCAACGGCGTGCCGCTTGTCCTTATGCGTGGTGCCAAAGGCGATTATGCGCGTTTCGGCGAGGCTAAGGGTGTAGGAATGCGGCGCAAGTACCTGGCAGAGAGTCAGGGGATGCTCATAGAGAACGCCATTGTCTTATAACACAACGTGGAGTACATGATGCATGTCTCGGAGTTTTACTAGTGGCGTCTCAGCACCAATTCTGCATAAGCAGTGTAGATATGTTTTGGATATGGCAGAAAGACATATTAGAAAGAGGTCGCTCATATCGGCATTAAGGAGCGTTCTTTTGTATATACTCAAAATCTATATTGAATAAAACCCAGTGGAGCAAGTTGATTTCTAGTTCTCTATCATGAACATAGCAACGAGGCCATCAATAAACGCAGGGAAGACCGCCATCGCGTCATAATTAGTAGAGATCTTTCTTTATATGGCTATACCAAAGTGTTCTCCTAAACCCCCATTCTATATGCGTGAACCCGAAATGACTTTTGCTGTTGTTGAATCGTGAAAAAGACATCCACAAAACGCCAACCAGTATAAATCCCACTCGACAAATAAGTGAAATGTTGTAAAAACTCGTCCACAACCACCGCCCATCAAGTTCAAAAACAAATATGGCAAAATATGACTTTGCAGGTCTAACAGGATTCCCCCACATGCGTCGTCGCGTGACTCACAGAGAGTTGGCTGAGGTCGATCTATGGCCCAATGTCGTTTAATTGTTGAAAGCGGGAAAAGAGGAGCTCGGCATGAACCGACTAAGCGTCTTCAAGGAGAATCTTGGTAGGAGGAGCGCCAAGCTTATCACGGCCGTTGAGTCCAGGAATTTCAAGGATAAACAAGTATCCCATGACCTCGCCCTTAAGCTGCTGGACGAGTTCAGCTGCAGCCTTTGCAGAACCACCTATTCAAGCACGTTAGTTTTTGTCGAGTATACGCTCCAAGCAAGCAAAGCTACTTACCGGTGGCAATGATGTCGTCCACGATCAGGACCTTCTGACCCTCACGGACAGCATCTTCCTGCATTTGGAAAAGGTCCTTGCCGTACTCCTTGATGTACTCAGCAGTAACGCAAGGTCCAGGAAGCTTGCCCTGCTTGCGAACAGCGGCGAAAGGAACGCCGAGACGAAGCGCAAGTCCAGGACCGAAGAGGAAGCCACGGGCGTCGAGGCCAACGATAACATCAGGCTTGGTAGGGAAAGCCTCGGCGATCTGGAGTTCGAGAGCTTCGACGAGGGTGGCATGGGCGGCTGGGTCGGCGAAAAGAGGCATAATATCGACAAAGTTAATTCCCGGGATAGGGAAGTCGGGGAAGCTGCGCAACGACTTGCGCAGGCTTATCTTTGCACCGGAGAGTTCGGAGGAACCGGCGGCGGAGGAGGAGGGCTGTCGTCCCGAGGCATCTTGAGTGTTGTTTGTCACTGACGATGAGTTGGTAGAGGAGAGGGGATCTTGGGCACTCATTGTGGAGGGAAGAAGAGAAGAAGAAGAAGGAAGAGAGGGAAGGCAGGTTAGAAGAAGGGTGGGAGGGTCGGCAAAAAAGAAGCAAGTAAGGGGAGGAAGGAGAAAAGAGACGAGGGATAAGGTACAATGTCGGGGAAGGAAGGGTGAGCGGAGGGTTACCAGGCTCAAGGAGTGAATTTTTTTAGGTAGGTAGTCGGTGGTCGGTGGTCAAGCCGTGTCGGAAGAAGGTCACAATAGTTTTAGTGAATGAAAATGGCAGGCGGGAAGAGAGTACAAGGAAGGTACGTGCTCCGTCTACTGAGATACCTTGTTAGTTTGGTACCTGATGGCAGAGAATGATGGGCAGGTACAATCAGACAGTCCAGCTTAGGTTTGGTTTGGCTAAGTGGACAAGGAAGTTACCTGTTCTATTCGTACGAGGGAGCAGCCGAAAGACGGATGATGAGGCAGGAGGGGTGCAACCTAGGTCGAGCGATAATGCTCACTGCTTATTTGGGCGTCCGGGAAGAGGCAGGCAGGCACTCAGGGCATGGTGGGGGAATGGCATGGCACGGCAGGGCAAGTACGATTAATGGAGGGGAAACCGACAGGGCTTCGATTGTAGGGGTGCAAGCTGCAAGGTGGGGGAGGGGAAAATTTTTGTCAACTTTTTTTTTCTTACTTGACTTACAAAACTCTCTCATCACTGACAACAGCCATGGATTCATCAATCTTGGCCACTGAGTCGGGGAACAAAGGCCCGTTAGGCCCGCTGGTGATCAATGCCCAGCACGCACCACTAGCCCCAGCAGTGCCTAAAGTAACATTGAGGTACTGTGGAGGTATCATGATTCACGAATGGATATCCACAAACTAACATCCACACACTGCTACCTCCCGTCTTGTGTTTGATTGCAACTATTTGTGAGCAAATATCTCACCAGAAGAGAAACGAAAGACAAAGCATGGCCGGTTTGAGAGAAACGTTAACACAAGTTTCGTCAGAAAAACACAAGAAAGCCGGCGGTCAGCGGGCCCGGTGAGGTGATATCAACGATTCATTGTGTTAGTCTTTGCATGACTCGACCAAGTCCAATCACCCAACTCATGTGTAAAGGACAGGCATCATCAAATAGAGAATGCATTCCATGACTACTAATAGGCATACCTCTAACTGGAAACCTTGTATGCAGGCAACACATTTTGCGTTGCAACCTGCGATACTAGCAATCGTTTAGTCAATCTTACAGCCAGCTGTACCATCATGAAACACTTTGTATGTTGACGCAGCCAGTTGCGTGATAATTCTGATATGTCAAACGCCATCTTTCCACAACAGTCAATGCATGCTTCTCGGGCTGCATGCATGGTTGTTGTATCGGAGTAGTATCAATGCAATATCAGATGCTAATCGTTAACTCTGCCCCCTTGGTGAATTCTCTCATTGGATAAGTAGATTGTGCTCTGCTGTACCAATTACGAATCGGACTCTACCTAGTAGGTAATATGCAGGCTAGAAAACGAAACACGGCAGGATACAACTCACGACTGTGTTCTCCATACATGATGTTCAACTGAGAGCCATAGTCTCTTTACCGCGCGTCCTCTTTCTATAAAAGTGTCGGGAAAACATAAGCCGTAACAGGTCGAGGAATACGGCCAGTCGCCCGGTGCTACTCTGCACACGTCCAGGATGCCCGCTCGTACCATTCAGGTACATTAATATATTTCGAGATCGCGGGACTAGCTCCAGCCAACTCAAACATACTTAACCGCCACACAATGGACCCCGTTGAATGACGGTTGGCCCGTATTGGTCCTTGTAAAAGCAACACGACACTGCGCAATCCAGCGCGCTCCGTTTCCTATTTTAAGAAATCATCATAAACAATAATCGGTAGTTACAAAGGCCAGAGACTCCATTCAGCATTCCATAGAATCCTACGCTTTATCCGAACTCACCCGGCTGTGTCGATCCGTGAGCTTTTATCGATCCTTAAACCTTGAACAACCCAAGCATTAATATCCAATTAATTGCTTTACCCCAGTATCGGGCCTGCTGCTACTCGAGGTATCCTTAGCATGGCGCTAGAAGTTTTTCCTTCTTACCTACATCAGTACATAGTAGATAGACAAGACTTTAGGTCGGGATCGGATAATGCACGGGCAAATGCTAGATAAACCTCGGGAAGTCAACAGTACTTGCAAATGCGAAGAAATAAGCAGGTACTTAGAAAGCTCAGTAGAACTCGTACTAAATCAATCGCACTTCTCTATCTGTGTTCCCGGTGGTGCTTTTCGCGCCCAATAGTGAACTTCTTTATCCGATTCAATGTCGGCAACCCTCTCCACTTCACAGCTGACGTTGATAAGTGACAGATCTACTATTATTAGATATCGCTCGTCACAAATATTTACTCAGATAACAGTATTGCCCATGGTTGGTCAGGGATAGATTATTGAACAGTCAAAGTTAATTCAAAAAGAATCGGTTAGAGAGTCTTTGTTCGAGAGAAAGTGGTTCAGTTAACCTAACGTTACCATTTTAGGCAACTCCCAAGAAGAAGGCAAGAAACGGTTAGGTAGGTTGCCCTTGCTAGGTTCCTTTGCTCTTTCCCCAGTCACTTTGTTCTTTCCCTACTCTTCACTTCCTAAAATGAAACTTTTATTTCCGTTTCAGCACATGTCCCTAGGAAGGGGGCATCCATCGGCTCTAAACAGAGCACCTAGGGTAGGTATCATCCGGTGCATCCAACCCTCTTGTGATTCGGCAAAGCTACATATATCCAGCGATTTTCTCTTACTTCGTCTCCATCACGGCTGACAGCCGAGTCAAGTATTCGTCTCCAAGTCGAGGCTTGTGGCTCATTTGTTGCTTGTTGTAAAATGCTCTGTAACCTCTGTCAGCGTTCCTGTACTTGATGGGCTTTCTTCGCGCAATCGTTGCTATTACACACACACGCGCAGCCCAGCAAGTGGCCACATTTTTACAGTAAGGCATGCAAAACGCTCGGCTCATCAACATTGGACGCCTTGCATCTCGATGAGTCCTCCACAATACAAACCGAACAGCCAACGAAGCCAGCCCAGCCTAAGCTTGCTGGTTTGGCTTGACTCGTTTGACCGTATACCAAGGCCGCATGTTATAGTCATACTGCCAGGGTAACACCGCCGTGGTTTTTATCATGGTTTACAGTATGCCGATATCGTCTTTTGTTCAACTTTCGGTTGCGTTGGCCAGTTGTCACTATCACTTATCGAGTATCTCAAATTCTGACAATGATGCAACCCAACCAGGCTTTGTTAGCTCTCGTCTGTATTCGAAATGCATCTTTACTGATGAGGATGAGGCACATAATGTATGTCTTATACGGCTCAGGTACTTTTGGGTTCACGCATACAATGCTGCACCCGCATGATAACATGTAGCTCGACTAGTTAGGTCATTGTTTCCAGCCAGACCACCTTAGACGACCGCTTCAGCTCGCTGCAAGCCGCTGCCACAACTAGAGGTAAGGCTCTTTCACCAGTGTCAGACCTGCGCAGGTCTCACTAGTGAGCCAGCACATCTGCTGCTGCGATCTCTTCCTTCAGCCCTGATCCCAGCCACCAGGTTGCTTTATTGAATGCTGTGCAGGACGTTGCTGTGGTTTAGTCGTGCGTCCGCAATCGTGCCACTTCTGTATCCTGTCTCCTAACTATTTTGGCATGTTTGTCTTATCGGTGGCGGACATCCCGCCAGCCCGCTCTGCAACTATGGGCACCTTATATATGCTGTGCCCCATGTTTCCCCAGCTCTTGATCCAATGTCTTGCATATTTTCCCCTCCAGAAACTCTTGACCGGCTGCTCATTCACTGCCGCGTCATCCAGTTCTTCTTGTATCGATTGACCGGCTGTTGATAAGCTCCCAATCTTCACCGCCGTTTGCTATACTCATTCCACCAAAGGAGACTGGCTCAGTCTTGCATTAGTCGCAGCTGCGTGTTCATCTTTTTGGCACCTTTGCGGGGAGCCGCTCGACGCGAGTCTTCGATATAGGGGTCTCCATCTTTCTCTAGAGGCATGTCGCCATTTGCATCGATATATGGGTCCAGTCGTACCGGTATGACTTTCGTGCAGGCACTAGACTGATGGGCCGCATGCAGCAGACTATTACCTGAGAATCGACTGACATGGCTGGGCGATTTGAATATGTATGTAGCTGCCTTCATTGCGGGCCAAATCCGTTAGAGAGCTGGCTGTTGATTCAACATGTTGCTGCCTGCTTGTTACTGCCTGCCCAGCCTCATGCCATCGTAAGTTATTGGGAGTTCTATCAGTTTGAGATGTGACAAAGTCAATATAGTTCGAGTACTAACAATCAGAGGGCTGTCTGAAAACCGTCTTTGAAACATCAGACCTAACTCCAAACACAGCATAACAGCAGTTTTTAACATACTTTTTGGTTTAAATCGGAATTGTTATGGCTCAGAAACGATCATGATGTCATTAAACAGTTATGTGGTATCTAATACTAAGTCGAAAATAAAACAGCAACTCTTTGAAAAACGGTCTAACGGGTATATGCCTGCATCACAAACGCTTCTTCGCGGTCTTAGACAAACCATGCCCGCATGCCCTCTCCAAAGACAAACAGAAATGACAATTGATGAAACAAGAGTAACAGAAACGATTCGGGAAAAGCACAGTTTCTCCGTCTAAACCTTTTAGGATTTGCGGCCACAGTGCAATACGCATTAGCCGACAGCTGCACCTCTCGGCAACGTTTCGCGGGCCGTTCCGACCCTCACTCACTTTGTTAGTGGAACGTGAACGAATGCCCCTGATTGATCCCCATGGGACCAGGAATCAACATTCACCTTTTGCCACTCAATGGAATTGTAGCCGAATGATGGAAAACAACATGTTTTGCAATACATGCAGCATAACTGCTACGCACGTTGGCATCAGTTCTGGCCAGACAGCCAAGTCGAGTTTCCCTTCAAGACCAACATCAATTTGGAAACAGATTCGGATAAGGACCCGCACAGCAACACTGGCCACCAGCTCGCACGCCCACGTTACAGACGAGGCGTAGAATGTGAGGCCGAAATTGTACTCTTCGTCGCCTTCAGTGTCAAAAGCGAAATACGGGTATACGTCTTTGTTGGCGCCAAAATGCAATACCAGAATACTCCCAAGGAATGCAACCATGGAAACGTTCTCGGCAAGGAAGCGAATGAAGATGTTGCGAGTCTGAAGCTTCTGATATGATCCGAAACTCTGTGCGTTGAGTCCCAGCAGTGTCAGAGTCTTGTGCATAAAAGAGGTCATCATTATAGGCGTGATGACGACAAGGCCAGTTGACGACATGATCTGAAGGGTGATGAACTGTTTTGGTGAACGCAGTCGGGCGTATAGTGCGCGGACGTACATCTGGTAAGTCAACATAAAATATCTTCAAGGGCATGTTAGCAGTTGCAAACGTAGATAGATACGAGAAATAGAGCTTACAGTTTGAAGATCCAACTCAAAGGATAGCTTCCGACGCGCTCGCCTTCTCGGATTCCGAGAACCCAGCCACTCAAGGCGTCTAAAAGATGCACCGTAGCAACCCAGCCGTAAACGTACACTACTGTTTCCAAGTTGTTGTGCGGCAAAGTCCGGAGATAGATCTCAGCATAAGCCTCTCCGATCACATAAGCCATGAGACCAATGAATAGAGCGATGCAGAACCACAGGAAACGAACAAAGCTGGCTGGCAACCACCGTCTGCGCATCCTAACGCCTTGGGGTCGCAACTCGGGCTCAACTTGAGTTACATCTACCTCAAACAACTCCGCAGTAACGTTTCGGCGTCGACGATCC